CCTACACTTGCTTTTGATGAAAGTACTACTTGTTCTCTAGTTGTAGAGTTGGAGTTTCATTGTGAAAACAAGTCTGTTTTCTAGGTTTCACTAGGTCGGGCACTGTAAGCAGATATTTACACCTTGATTTAACTAGATGCGGTGCTTTTTGATATTTTTTTGTCCTCTCTCAATGTGAACGTGAAAAACATTTAATCTGTGTTGCATGAGATTTTGGACTAAACCGTGTTATTTTAGAAGTATTTATATACTATTACCGTATTTATTCATATTTTGAATTAGCTTTTATTTTTGTATTTCCAGTTTTCATTTTAGTTTTAGTTAATGTTTTAGTCATTTTGTTATGTGTTTTCATCATTTGTTTTAGTCATTTTAGTACTTCAACTTCAACTTATTTATTTCAGGTACACTTTACAATAAGGTTTCATTTGTTAATATTAGTTAAGGGGATAGTTCACGCCAAAATATATATATTTTAAATAATTTACTCAACCTCATGTTCCTCCAGTTGTTGGTGCCCATTGACTTCCATGTTTTTTTTGTTTTTGTTTTTGTTTTTTATTACCAGCAACTGTTTGGTTACCAACATACTTCAAAATATCTTCTTTTCTGTTCAACAGAAGAAAGAAACTCTTGAGGGTGAGTAAATTATGACAGATTCAAGATCAAACGTTGTCTATGGTAACTAGTTAACATGAACATGAACATTTTTATTAACTAGCAGTAACAAAGGTTAAAAAATGCTTTAAAAATGTATCGCTCATCTCTCTCTCAGTTAATCTGATTGGTCAGGAACATGAAAAAAAGTCAATTGAATTTTGTTGTTCTGTGTCTAAAGGGAGAATGAGGGAATTTTGTAGAGTGGTCAGCCTACACTTGCTTTTGATGAAAGTACTACTTGTTCTCTAGTTGTAGAGTTGGAGTTTTATTGTGAAAACAAGTCTGTTTTCTAGGTTTCACTAGGTCGGGCACTGTAAGCACATATTTACACCTTGATTTAACTAGATGTGGTGCTTTTTGATATTTTTTTTGTCCTCTCTCAATGTGAACGTGAAAAACATTTAATCTGTGTTGCATGAGATTTTGGACTAAACCGTGTTATTTTAGAAGTATTTATATACAGCAACTGTTTGGTTACCAACATACTTCAAAATATCTTCTTTTCTGTTCAACAGAAGAAAGAAACTCTTGAGGGTGAGTAAATTATGACAGATTCAAGATCAAACGTTGTCTATGGTTACTAGTTAACATGAACATGAACATTTTTATTAACTAGCAGTAACAAAGGTTAAAAAATGCTTTAAAAATGTATCGCTCATTGTTAGTTAATGTTAGTTAATCCATAAACTAGTGTTAATAAATTAGGCGTCACAGTAAAATGTTACCTATGTTAGTTGCCAAGGAAACTTTTCTCATTGTAAGTTCTTAATCCAATATTTATATTTCGTTTCAGTGTTATTACAGTTACCAAAAATGATTTTCAATTGTTTTTGTTTTCTTTTTAGTTTTAGTTAACAATAACAACACTGGGACCTATGATATATGGCGGTGGGTGGGGCTACTCACAGACAGTGAAAACAAAAGTCTTGTTGCCCGTCGGTTTCAGCTGGTAAGGACAAAACAACTGGCAGAGATTTCATTTATCGCTGTTTTATTATGGCGTGCCATTTCTATGCTAGTTCTACAATATGCTTCCTCTATTTTACAGTGTCATTGTAATTGTTGGCTTCATCCCATTTAGGTTATCAAAACAATGTCTTTATTGAGCATACAGACTTTTAACTTATTGTGTTGCCCTTTTTCCCCTCACATTTTCTTCTTCCTTTTATTTTCAGTTGTACATTCATAGTATACATAGACAGCTGGCTTTGTGCCCCAGGGGTTGATGGCCTGAAAAATGACTGATGTCTGATGTGTGAAGTTTATGATAGGATCCTCACCCACAGAATCTGATCGCTGCATTTACCCCTCGCTGTGATGGTGGACATGGCTGTTCGGCTCTGTGTGCTGACAATGGGATGCAACAGTTGTAGAAAGGTTGTGTTTGTGTTAGCTGAGCGTTGAGAGATTAATTTTGGTGTTTGTGTGTTAGAAGCTGTGAGATGACTGACAGGACTTTATCTCCCAAGTCACACTTCCATAGTTCTGTGCCACAACACAATATTTGAGCAGGAGAAATATCACACATTCCCATTTTGAACGTTTGATAAGCGCGTCATTTTGCTGTGTCTGGAAAAGCAGAGATGTTTATTGAGCTTTGGACAGGTAGAGTAGTATTAAAGGGATAGTTCACCCAAAAATAAACATTTAGGAAACAGATGCAGATACCCCGATGCAGTAAAAAAAAAAACAGCACACACGAGACAAAATACAAGTTAAAGCTTAATAATATTATAAAATTTAAAGTAACATTTCTGACATTTACTCATCCTCATCTCATTTTCAACCTTTATGGCTTATTTTCGTCTGTGGAACACAAAAGGAGATGTTAAAGTTGCTCTTATGCAATACAATAAGGATGAATGGTGACCACAACTGTCACATTAAATATATTAAGTGAATAACAGCTTACATTTCAATTTTTTCCTCACACAACGCTATCATATGGCTCAAAATATAGCACACCTCTTTTATGACACTTTTATTGTGCTTTTTGGAGTGAGCATTCACTTTATTCATAGTATACATAGACAGCTGGCTTTGTGCCCCAGGGGTTGATGGCCTGAAAAATGACTGATGTCTGATGTGTGAAGTTTATGATAGGATCCTCACCCACAGAATCTGATCGCTGCATTTACCCCTCGCTGTGATGGTGGACATGGCTGTTCGGCTCTGTGTGCTGACAATGGGATGCAACAGTTGTAGAAAGGTTGTGTTTGTGTTAGCTGAGCGTTGTGAGATTAATTTTGGTGTTTGTGTGTTAGAAGCTGTGAGATGACTGACAGGACTTTATCTCCCAAGTCACACTTCCATAGTTCTGTGCCACAACACAATATTTGAGCAGGAGAAATATCACACATTCCCATTTTGAACGTTTGATAAGCGCGTCATTTTGCTGTGTCTGGAAAAGCAGAGATGTTTATTGAGCTTTGGACAGGTAGAGTAGTATTAAAGGGATAGTTCACCCAAAAATAAACATTTAGGAAACAGATGCAGATACCCTGATGCAGTAAAAAAAAAAAAACAGCACACACGAGACAAAATACAAGTTAAAGCTTAATAATATTATAAAATTTAAAGTAACATTTCTGACATTTACTCATCATCTCATTTTCAACCTTTATGGCTTATTTTCGTCTGTGGAACACAAAAGGAGATGTTAAAGTTGCTCTTATGCAATACAATAAGGATGAATGGTGACCACAACTGTCACATTAAATATATTAAGTGAATAACAGCTTACATTTCAATTTTTTCCTCACACAACGCTATCATATGGCTCAAAATATAGCACACCTCTTTTATGACACTTTTATTGTGCTTTTTGGAGTGAGCATTCACTTTACAGTTTATCTCCATTCACTTTCATGATGTGGAAAAGAGCAGCTTGAACATTATGCTAAATATCTCATTTTATGTTTTACATAAGAAAATAAGTCAAACAGGCCTGAAATTACATCAGAAAAAAACATTTGTTTAAATTATTAAGTATTGGTGAAGTTTACCTCATATTTGGTCGGCTTATTTTCGTCTGTGGAACACAAAAGGAGATGTTAAAGTTGCTCTTATGCAATACAATAAGGATGAATGGTGACCACAACTGTCACATTAAATATATTAAGTGAATAACAGCTTACATTTCAATTTTTTCCTCACACAACGCTATCATATGGCTCAAAATATAGCACACCTCTTTTATGACACTTTTATTGTGCTTTTTGGAGTGAGCATTCACTTTACAGTTTATCTCCATTCACTTTCATGATGTGGAAAAGAGCAGCTTGAACATTATGCTAAATATCTCATTTTATGTTTTACAGAAGAAAATAAGTCAAACAGGCCTGAAATTACATCAGAAAAAAACATTTGTTTAAATGATTAAGTATTGGTGAAGTTTACCTCATATTTGGTATTTTTTACTGCATCAGAGTCTCTTTTTCTTAAATGATGATATCATTCTGAATCTTCTCTGAATGTGTGTGATTATGTGATTCTGGCTGTAACAAAGGGCTGTTGATTATCTGTGACAGTATTGAGTTTTTCTGTCTGCTTTAGCTCAGTTGTCATCACCTTGTTGTTTCTGATAAGCGCAGATGATAGAGCCGTATCCTGGGCTACCAGACCGAAGTCTGTCTCATTCTCAAGTAACTACAATCCAGACCTATCAACAGCCTGATATGCTGGACTTCTGGATTTTTATCCAACACATCATGTACTGTATAGGTCAGATCGGTAGTGACTCTTTGTTCTGGATGGGTGTGAGTGGGCCGGAGTCGGGTGATTGTGAGTTATCTGCGACTGTAGATCTATAAATGTGTATGTTGGGAAATAGTATTTGTGCGTAGGAGACTGTGTGCGGATGTAAGGAGGTGGTGGGGTCTAGTCTTTGAAGATCTGGGTTGGTAAGCAAAGATTGCTGGTTCAAATGTCACAAAGGATAGACAGAGCTTCACTAATTGGAACTGAACACAAGGATCTTTTGACATGTTTTAAAAGTTGAGCTATCTTATTACACTATCTTAAAAAAAAGAAAAAATCTGTTTTTCTGAAACTACGTAGACCATCTCCCACCCCATATGTTATTTATCAGTCTAGTTGTAGTAGACACTGGATGATTATAAATCAATTATATTCTATGTTATGTAAACCTTATTAATTATTGTTTATTGTTAATTTATTTTAATTTGCTTTTGGAATATTTTATCTGAAGCGACTAGGGACAGTTGATTTGGAACCTACAACCTTTTGGTTACCAGCCCAGATCTTTAGCCACTATGCCACAGCACCACATTTCTTCATTAATTTAATATTTGAGCTAAGTGGATTGTGTGTTTTTGCAGCAGTATGGACCGTATCCAGCAGCTGAGGAGGGAGTATCTCCAGGCTCGTAGAGAGGGAGCAGCTCCAGCCTACGAGGAACTCGAGGCCAGACAGAGAGGACCAGAGTACGACCCGCACAGAGTAAGACATCAAACCCACACGACACCTAATAAAACACACTCTCACCATCATGTAGGTTCCAAAATTAACAATCGCCAAGTGTCAATGCAATTCAAATTTGACTTTCAAGTAAATTGACAGTGGCTGGTAACTGGTTTAAGCTGAGTTTGGAGTCTTGGAGGTTTTTTGTTTTTGAAAGAAGTGTCTTATGCTCACCAATGCTGAATTTATTTGATCAAAAAAATACTGTAAATAACAGTAATATTGTGAAAAATTGTTACAATTCCAATTAACTGTATTATATTTTAATAGATTTTAAAATGTAATTTATTCCTGTGATGCAAAGCTGAATTTTCATCATCATTACTCCAGTCTTCAGTGTCACATGATCCTTCAGAAATCATTCTAATATACTGATTTGATGCTGAAGAAACGATTCTTATTTTTATCCATGTTGAAAACAGTTGTGCTGTTTAATATATTTGTGGAAACCATGATACTTTTTTTCAGGATCCTTTCAAAAGAAATCTCACTACCTCAAACTTTGAAAGGTAGTGTATTTATGAAAATAATACAAATGTCATGGCTAGTAAGAATTATGTATAACTGATAACTTTTCTCAATTCATCAGCCATTGGCTGGTGTGGCTAGTTAATTTTGGACACTTCATTTTTACCATTCCCTTAATCAGATTAGATAATTGCCTCAGTATCTGTCTATACTGCCTCAATTCAGCAATTAATGTAACAGACTTTAACATTCTTAATCCGGATTCATAGAAACTTCCACCAAATACATTGGCACCTTTCTTTATTAAAGGGGTCATATGCGATTTCAAGTTCTAAAATAATGATCTTTAAAAAAGCACCATATGACCCCTTTAAGATTGGGACAAACCAGCGTAATTTGTTTTCTCTCAGAACACAGTAATTCCCTTTGTGTGAGATCAATAGTTATACCTCTCAAATTTAAATGAGCTAACGTCTGTTTTTGTAAGAGCTGTGGTGAACAATGAAGCATCACAGGCTGTGGGATTAGAGAGGCAGATCGAATTAAACTAACTCCAAACAGCAATCACCCAATCTAACGAGCCTGCTCATTAAGGTCGACACTGCATTTATCCGTTTGCTCGTTGGTGCTTATTTATCTATTTATTCAGCGCTAATTATTCAGCTACTGAAGGAAACAAAAACTCGCTGCGTCAAAGCAAAACAAAGTTATCAGCCGCCGTTTTGCATGAGAGGAAACGTGTGAGCAGTTTTCGCATGGTGAAGTGGTTTGGAACTACCTACAGGCCTGATGATTACATTGTGGAAACGATGACGATTGCCTGAAGGCGACTTGAAAGAATTCACCATATCCTGTGACTTTACACACACACACAATCTTGGAGAGACATTCACAGAAGTTTCCACACCCTTTTCTGTGACTGTGATGTAGTCTACACCATGGATATAAATAATACTCCTCATAACAGACAAATTATGAATGCCTATTGTTACAGCTGCCTCTCATCTGCTTTCAGATTTAGCCCTTTTATGGACATAACTGTACATATCTCACTCAATCAACTCGTAATGATGTTCCCGGTAAACACAGAGAAATGGAAAAAGAGATTTGGATTGGGATTTGTTTTGTTGGGCTGTTCCATAACCAAAACCATTCAACTATAATTTAGCTGACAGCTGATAACCAAATCAGTTTACGCACAACCCTGCTTTCCAGTAAATGTTTTAGCTTTTCTCTGCCAGAGGATCCTACTACTGATGTCATAGCTATTTGTTTTTTCTTTTGTATTTATGTGAAGCGTCGCAGTGTTTACTGGTTCATCACTGTTCTGTGTAAGTGTGTTACAGGACTACAGTAGGGTTGATATAGAGTGTGTATAGACATTGATTGATGACCCGCTCGACCACTCCATGAATTTCTGTGCTAACTCAGTGACTGCATTGCTCAGGCATGACTGTGGTGTAGTTGTCTCAGTGACCGCAAGTTCACTTGTGAGGACTTCTGACGTCCAGATGAAATTAAGGTTTGGCATTTGTCAGTATTTGTGTTAAAAAAGATGTCTGTTCCAAAACCCAGTGAGCTGCCTCACTGTCTACTGCCTACATAAGACCCTGCCTTCTAAGGTAGCATCTTATCAGATGAGTTTGATGTTAATATGTTGCATAAAAATACAATACAACTTTTGGGTAAAATAGTTCATTAGACTAAGTTCATTAGATCATAGCATTTTTTAAATCAACATTTCTCTTGTTTTGGCTACCATCATAAGGGATTTATTTTTCTCCCCTTGGCACAGTGCATTCTGGGAATGCCTTCTCCACAGATTTATTTACCTTTATTTAATCAGAAACTTTAATTTAACAGTAAGGAGAATGATAACAAATAATTTGAAAAATAAATACAATAGATTTAATTGAAAAATAATTTTAAAAAGTAGATGATGAAATATTTCAAGTTAATGTTTTTATTTTATCCAGAAAATAAGTATCATGGTTTCCATGAAAATAATAAACAGCACTAACATTAGTAATAATAAAAAATGTTCTTGAGCACCACATCATGATCATATGTCACACTAAAGACAGCTTTGCATCTCAGGAATAAAAAAAAATGGCTGTTTTACTGTATTTTTTATCAAATAAATGCAGCCTTGAGCATAAGAAACAAAACCATTCGTTGGTTAGGTTTTTAATGGTTTTGTTTCTTATGCTCAACCACAAACATTTGAATGCTAGTGTAGAAAATCTGAATTATTCAAAGTATAAATTAAATGAAAGGCTAGCTAATACAAAATAATGTGAAAGATGTAAATATGATGCTGCCTTAGAATCTAGGCAGACGAAGGTATCTTAGTAGGCGGTATAATTATGCTGCCTCTTCATGTTGGGAGTGTGACTTTAATGCCTTAAAATGTAGCCCTAAAATACTGCTTACGTAGGCAGCTCACTGGGTTTTGGAACAGAACAAATGTGTGTCCTCCAGAAGGTACCTGTACCCATGATTCTGTGCCATCTTGGAATCATTCCTGTACCTCAGCTGCTAGCAACACCAAGGTCATGGGTTTGATTCCCATGGGAGACGTATACTGAGAAAATATATACCTTGAATGCACTGCAAGTCAGTTTGGATGAAACCACCTTGCAAATGCATAATAAATGCAGAAGTCTATTATACATTTATATGGAAGTCTGAAGATGGCAAACAAAGGCTTAAAGGCAAATACTGTTGTTGTCTTGCGGTTTCTGTGCTGTTCATTCCTCAGATGTTGAGATAAGATGCACGCCACACTATGTAACATGCAATTATATTATGTGTTGCCTGCGGTGTCTAATGTCTCCATAAACTATTTTTACCCAGTGAAAAATTCGAGCAAATGGGCCTCATTATTAAAAGGGAAGGCTGTTCATGTTTTCAAAGTCCTCTCTTTATGGAATCAGTCATGAGAAGGCAGCCAATGAGCCGTGGAGAGGCGTCTAAATAGCATCCAAATGTATATATGGTAGTCTTGTGACTGTTTATAGGGCCTGTAAGGCGGTTAAAGTTGGTATGATAATGCTCCAACTGCCACCTAACTGCCACGGTCCTAATGAGTGAATGCTGGCGATATTTACTAGCACAGTCCTCTCTCACTTGCTCTCGTTTCCCCTGAGAGGAATGATGCAGTCCATGAGAAACTAATCGCACACATTTGTCAGAGTGTCTCTCTCTTGCTCTGAGGACCAGCCGTTGTTTCCTTTCCTAAGCTGGAGCACAATCCAGATCTATCTCCAGGACACGTCAACAGCTTCATCTCCTGTTCTCACAATGAGAAAATCTCAAAAATACAGTTTTCCCGTATCTGCTTTCATTAAACCCATCGCCATTAGTGAAATATTTTTCCTTGAAATACTAGAGGAGGATATTTGTTTAATTTTCTCCAGTCGGGTGCTGGATTTCACTGGGTTTCTTCAGTTGTGGTTTGAGCGAGATGTGGTCCATCGTCTGTCTGTCTGTCTGTCTGTCTGCAGTAGGTATAGAATCACCGCCCTTTAACATAGTCACATTTTGTTACTTTTCAGCCTGAAATGAAGATGGACACAGTTTTTGTTTTATCCAACTGTATTTACTTGTAACATGTCTCTCTCCTCTCCACCTGTAGCTGCTGTGTGGTGAGCACACTAGCGTCGTTGTACTATGGCTGCCGTCGCATTTTCATCCAAGTGGATGCTGCACACCGGTGGTGATATTATTTTCTATACCTACCCTATCTATATATATATATATCTGTCTGTCTCTCTGTCTGTCTGTCTGTCTGTCTGTGTCTGTCTGAAAGTCTATAAACCTTACATAAAATAGATTTTTCTTAAACGTTTCTCAAAAAAAAAAAATACTGTCACACCAACATTCAAAGTTAGTCTGGCTATTCTGGTTAATGAATACAGTTTGTGAATGCATTGCCCTCAGACCACCCACCATAAACAAATACAGTTTGAATGTTTGATCAGATCACGTTTCCACATTGGCAAAACCAAATAATTTCTGACTCTAAACATTATGGTTCTGGAAAACTTTCCAATAAAACGAACCCGTGGCTGTCATCCATTTAGTGTTTTTGAGTGGTCAGTGCCGCTCAGATTTTCTTGAGGGGGAAATCTAGATCTGTGTTCTAAGTTGTGCTTAAACAATGGATAGAGGAAACAGCTACTGTCTACCATGTAACATCTGGGGCTGGTTATTCAATGAGGAACCAGAGAGCTTGTTGCATAAGTTCTTACAATATGGTTACAGGCAATAGTCTGGAGCCAATAAAACAGTTTTCTTTCTATTTGTTTTTGATGCAAAAATGAAAGAACATATTTGTCTTTGGTGAATAATATATCTGTGACATTCAAGAGACTATTTTGTTCCCTTTGTTCATTAATAGAGGCAACATTTGCACACTGGCACTAAGAGGTGTTTATCAGACACTCTTGAATTATTTCAGTATACTATGAATTAAGTGTATCATATGATATATTTGTGAAATTTACTTC